AAATAAACATTGGTTAAGTCGGTTTGCCCCCATTTTATGACTTTTCTTGCCTCCAGTGTTATGTGAGCCATTGTGAGTCACACGCTTGTTAAGTGAGTCACACGGTTGTTAAGTGAATCTGGCTTTCCCCGTGGACTTTGCTGGTCGGAAGGTCGCGAAATGGGATCACGTGACTCCCCTGGGACACTGCGACCGTCGTTAAATACGAGCCAGTGGCGAAGCCTCTGAATTTTGATCGCGTGACTGCGGGGATGCTGCAACGGTCGTAAGTGTGAAAAACGGGCGTAAGTCCCTTTTTTCAGGGCGGTTGTCACTTTGAACGGTCACTAAGTGAACTGTTGTAAGTCGAGGACTAGCTGTGAACATGAAAGTCATGATTAAATTTCCAAGAGAAGCAAGCTGGCCCCGCAAAGCTCATAATATTCCATCTCTTAAAATTAAGGTAAAGTTGACGCCATCTTGACTTTTTTGACCTCCCTAGAGATATCCCTTCTACCGGTCCATGTTTGCAAATTCCCTATTTTTGTCTTGGTTGGTGGAACCTTTCTCCCTGTCCTCTAAAAGCAACTTTGCTTATAAAAATATTTTGCAATTAATAACAGAATAATAGAATAACAGAATCTGGAAGGGACCTTGGAGGTCTTCTAGTCCAGCCCCCTGCTCAAGTGAGAGACCCTCTCCCATTTCAGACAGATGGTTGTCCAATCTTCTCTTAAAACTGACCAAACCTTAAGATTTAGCCTTTAATCTTCCTCCCCACAATTAATATTGAAGATAAATGCAGACGAAAAAAATACGAAGGGCCAACTTCAACCAAGCTCAGAGAGCACAAAGGACCCCTCCTTTCAAGCCTGAGTTGCAACAAATATTCTCCTTTTAAAGAAATAATTTATATATATAATTTATTTCCTATCTTCCCGCTGAGGAAGATGGGCAGAATTCGACAATAAAAATAAAATAATATTTCCCTTTCGTGCAACCAACTTGAGACCAGCCGGTTTGCCCACACAGCGAAAGCAAAATTTCAGATCGATGCCAAATCCATAAAATGAGCCTCCCTGATATCTTTCCATAAATCCAATTTCCTTTTTCAGCTGCGGATTTTTTAAAAATCTGTGTCTTACATCCCCAGGTTATTTGCAAGAGGCAAGGCTTCCCATCAGAGGCCTTTGGGTGGACTACAACTCCCATCTTTTTTCAACCCACTTGACTACGGGGGGGGGGAGGTATGCCATGCTGGCGAGGATGATGGGAGTGATCCTCCTAACATCTGTGGAAGATGAAATGGGACCCAAACAAGAGAAAATGTCTTCCGCATTGCAAGCTCAAAAATCAGGCGGCCTTGACAAGGACCGGACTGAACCAGGCAAGGTTCCATGATCCGGTTTGTGCAAAATTAAAACTTTGTGATCCAGGCGAAGCTGGCTTATGCAACACGCTTGAGCAGTTTGATGGAAGATCTGGTGACCTATCATCTCCAGCCTCTAAACCTGGTTTGTTTGTGTGTTTGTGGCTGAGCGTAGCCCAACCGGCTGGGTGAAATGGTATTGTGTGAACTCTGAAAATGGGTTCACTTCCATCGCCAGGATTGAGAACCTTCTGTGAAAGCACAAAATGATAGACAGAGAGGGAGGGAGGGAGGGAGGGATGATAAATGATGGGCAGGCAGACAGACAGACAGACAGGTGAGAGAGAGAGAGATGAAAGAGAGAGGATAATGTGTGTGTGTGTGAGAGAGAGAGACACAGACAGACAGACAGACAGATAGATAGATAGATGATAGAGATGGATAGATAGATAGATAGATAGATAGATAGATAGATAGATAGATAGAGATGGATGGATGGATGGATGGATGGATTGATAGATGGATAGATAGATGATAGATAGATAGATAGATAGATAGATAGATAGATAGATAGATAGGTGTGTGGATAAATGATAGATATAAAAAAACAAATACGGGAGAGAGAAAAAGAGGGAGAGATGGATGGATGGATGGATGGATGGATGGATGATGGATGGATGGATAGATAAATAGATAGATAGATAGAGATAGAGATAGAGATAGAGATAGACATAGACATAGACATAGACATAGACATAGACATAGAGATGGATGGATGGATGGATGGATGGATGGATGGATGGATGGATAGATAGATAGATAGATAGATAGACAGAGATGGATGGATGGATGGATGGATGGATGCATAGATGATAGATGGATAGATAGATAGATAGATAGATAGATAGATAGATAGATAGATAGACAGACAGAGATGGATGGATGGATGGATGGATGGATAGATGATAGATGGATAGATAGATAGATAGATAGATAGATAAATAGATAGATAGATATGGATGGATGGATGGATTAGATAGATAGATAGATGAGACAGAGAGTGAAATAGATAGTTGATAGATGGATGGATGGAAAGCAGGAAGGGTGGGTGGATGGATAAGATAGATAGAATGATAAAATGGTAAATAGATAGAGAGAAAACGAGACAGACAGACAGACAGATAGATATAGGTGGGCTCCCTCTTCTTTGTTGCAGCTCCTCAAATATTGGAAGATGCTATCGTGTCCGTCCGTCCCCCATTCCTTCTTTTCACTAAAGTAGCCATCTCCCATTCCTGCACCCGTTCTCCCTGGCACGTGAGCTGCCACCACCAGAGCCCTTCTGAAGTCCCACTGAGCCCGAAGGGAGGGGGCCACGGGAGAAGAAAGACCCCTTTCTCCCCACCTGGTCGCAGAAGGAGACCCCCCCCCTCCCCTCTCTTCGGCGCCTCCTGCCAGATGTCACCGCACACAACCTCAACAAGTTGCATTGAATCACGTTGGGGCTTCTTGATTGCCAAACATCCCCCCCCCCCAAAAAAAATTCCCTCTCCAGGATGGCAGCCTATAAACCAGCATTGATGGGGTGGGGGGGGTTTGAGGGTGGGGGGGCTTAGTGACAGCTGGGGAAATTTCTCCTGCGCGAAGGTCTGGCACCAGATGGGCAGTCTGGGTGCAAAAAAACGCCTCTGGACATCTTGAAGGGGGGGGCATCACGCAGGAAATGGAGCCTCTGGGACCCTTCTGCCTTTTTGCACCTTCTCCTCAGCCCCCCCTCCCCTTAAATCCCACTCGGCGAGGGTCCCATTGATCGGGGTATCTCTGCCTCTGCCCCCCACCCCAAACAGCTGCTGAAAAGGAAATGGCTGGGAATTTGCAAAAAAAAATCAAATCAAATCAATCCAGGAAGGGGTCAAAAGGATAATGACGTGCCCCCCCCCCAACCCCAGCCTCCCCTGCCCCCTGATCTGATCATCCTCTGCCCCCTAAATGCTTCTCTTTCCTAGTTGGGGGGGGGAGGTTCCTTAAAGGGTCTCCGGTGCTGGTAGGGACTGCAGAGGGGGAAAATCAATTAGTCAAGCTATTAATATTTTACCATCTCTAAGCGGTCTGCTTTGCCTGCTCTACCACCCCCCCCAACTTCAGTGCACTTAGATTGATTCAGAGTGGGGGGTGGAGGAGGGCAGGAATGGCTAATGAGCCCACCCACCCACCCACCCCCGTGCAAATGGAGGCAGAGATGCGCAGGGCATCTGGGCCCAGCTGGGCTCTGCTTTCCTTCCTTCCTTCCTGGGTTTACGGGAAATTCTTCGTGGCCCCCTGGCCGAAGTCCAGTTCAACCTCTTGGAGGCTGGACTGCATAGCTCCAGGAGAGAATCTTTGTGGCTCTGGGTTCAAGTGTGGGGTTGAAACCATGCTCAGAGAGCACTAAGGAGCCTCCCGCCTCCTATCTATCTATCTATCTATCTATCTATCTATTTTATCATCTATCGCTATATAATTATCTATATCTATCTATCTATCTATCTATTTATCTATTTATCTATTTATCATGTATCTCTATATAATTATATCTATCTATCTATCTATCTATAGTATCTATCCAGATTATTTATCTATCTATGGTCTATCTATCTATCTACTCATCCATCCATCATCCATCATCCATCCATCATCTGTCTATCATCTATTATCTATCTATCTATCTATCTATCTATCTATCTATCTATCATCTATTTATCTACAGTATCTATCATCTAGGTATCTATCTATGGTCCATCAATCTATTTATCTACTCATCCATCCATCCATCATCCTCTATCTATCTATCTATCTATCTATCTATCTATCTATCATCTATCTATCTATCTATCTATCTATCTATCTATCTATCATCTATCTATCTATCTATCTATCTATCTATCTATCTATCTATCATCTATCTATCTATCTATATCTACCGTATCATCTATTATCTATCTATTCTATATCTATCATCTACTATCTATCATCTATTTGCCCACTCATTCCCCCTATCTATCTATCTATCTATCTATCTATCTATCTATCTATCATCTATCTATCATCTATCTATCATCTATCTATCTATCTATCTATCTATCTATCTATCATCTATTTATCTATCTATATCTACCGTATCATCTATTATCTATCTATTCTATATCTATCATCTACTATCTATCATCTATTTGTCCACTCATTCCCCCCATCTATCCATCTATCATCTATCTATCCATCTATCATCTATCTATCTATCATCTATCTATTTATCTACAGTATCTATCATCTAGGTATCTATCTATGGTCTATCAATCTATTTACTCATCCATCCATCCATCCATCCACCCAGCTATCTAGCTTCCTAATATTTGTAGCTCAGGGTTGAACTTTTGGGTCCTTGGTGCTCTCTGAGCTTGGTAGTTTTCTTGCAGACCTTTCATGACCCAGCTAGGTAACATTATCAGGGCTAGAAGCGAGTGGGGTTTTCTCTCTGTTTGGCTTACATATATATTCCCCCAGCAATCAAAAGAAGACATGTTTACAAAAATATAGGACCTTTTGCATCCTCCTGGACAAGGTGGGATTCTGGTGATGACTTTCCAAGAAGGGAAGAGATAAAGAGGAGACTGAATTCTGGGGGAGAATCCATCAAATATATTTAGAAGCAAAGTGGGGGTTTTCGGGCACGTTTAAGGGTGGCCCCTAACCTCTTCAGTGGATGGTGGGCGCCTCTAATCCAGCACACCAGGAAGACACCAGCTTGGGAGGGCTGAATCTGGAGTGGAGCAAAAGACAGGATTAATCTGTGGAACTCCCTGCCACAAGGTGAGCTGATGCCCATTCAGGTGGGCATTAATTCGACTGGGAAAAGCAAGCAAGGATTTAGTATTAACTAAGTTATTAACCGCCCAGAGTTGCTAGGAGCCAGGTGCATACAAATTTATTAAAGTTTGATAAACCTATTTAAGAAAAAAAATGTTTATTCTGAATAAAGATAGTCTGTACATACTAAATAAAATAAGATTGTTCCCGTTTATATTCACTGTATTTTGGGTTGAGTGAATATTACTGTATTCTAAAACAGAATCTATTTTTGTAATTTTCTTTTTCTCCCTCTGCATTTGGACCAAACTCAAAATATGGCAAATTATGCCTCAAAACAAATAATTTATAAGATTTTTTAAAAAAAAAACTTTGCATTTTAGGGCATCTTTCTTCAACTTGGTGTCTATTGGACGTGTCAAATTTTGGTGCCCCATGCCGAAGTGCAATGTCAAAAATCAAATATCGCCTCCTTAGAGGCGTAGCTAACTGGGGAATTCTGGGAGTTGAAGTCCGCATGTCTCAAACTCGCCAAGCTTAAGAAACACTGTGCTACAGTACACATCTAATTTTGTTAGCAAGAAGTGCTGCCTACAGAAGTGGCTGGTCACCGCCATTTTATCCAACCATGCTGGCATCACCTGATGGTACCCCATCCAATTACCAATCAGATCTGCTCCTCTTTTCCTTGCTTCCCAAACAGCCAACCCTACATCCTGCCATCTTCTTTGGTTTCCGGTTACAATTAATTAATTTCATTCTTCCAGTTTCAGAAAGGAGACCCTGGTATAGGGCCTTCTGGTTGAGAAAGGGGGTTGGACTAGAAGACCTCCAAGGTCCCTTCTGTTGTTCTGTTATTCTGTTGTTATTCTGTTATTATTATTCTGTTATTCTGGATGGCCATGGTTGCACCATTGCCCCCTAGAGCAAAATCCTGCTGCAAAATCAATTATAAAGCCATTTTTTTGGTCGGCTGGGATTCTCCATCATAAGCCCCTAGAAGGAGAAAGGGAAGGAGAGGAAAAGAAAGGAGGGAAGGAGAGAGAAGGAGAGGGGAGTAGAGAAGAGAAGGAGGAGAAAGAAGAGGAAAGGAGAGGGATGTTGTAAAAATGGGTAAAACACAGTGTACAGGAGAAAAGAAAACAGACGGACCATTTCATATTTCTTCTTTCTTTTTTAAGGGTTATACTCTTGAAACTATAACGGAAGATAATACGGATGCTAAAGCACATCAGGTTAGATGTTATTACACACTAGTTAATATTTATATGAAAAATAAAATTTGGAGCAAAAGGAAGGAGCAAATAATACGAAATAAGGAAAATGGAATGTAATAATTAGGAATATGTTTATATGTATTGAAATATATGATACTCAAACATCGCACCATTCACACAATGATATGTATAAATTAAAAAAAAAACTTGATTAAAAAAAAAAAGAATCCACCCAGGACCCATTTTGGTTCCCCACACAGACCCTCCTACAGAGGTTTGGACTCATGCACACACCAAAAAAAAGCTTTTAGCCTTTCCATCATGTGGCATTGCACAAGCTGCAGGAATCAAGAGCTAAAAACTCACAAAGGCGCACTTGTTTACAGAGGCATCTTCAGGTTCAATTCTGTGAATCTTGTGGGTTTTGTGTTGTTGTTTTTTTAATTCCACGTATACAGACGTTTTAGAATACTTGCAAAAAAAAAGGGGGTGGAATCCTGGCTCCGTCCAAGCTTTGAGATGGGCTGCCACTCAAATTAAAACAAAATTTCCCAGCCCACTTGGAAAAAAAACAAAACAAAAAGGTTGGAAGGAATTTTGCATGCAGAGAGAAAATTGTCGCTTTTCACTTTGGCACACAAACACAACCACCCCAGGGCGTGTTTGTCGTGCATGTTCCTGATGATGCGTGTTTACTCAAAAAAAGAAATCCCACAGGATTCCTTCAGCTTCCTCCGAGGTAAACCAGCTTGCAGAGATCTCTGCAATATTCTTAGCTGCGAAGAAAAAGCCTGTTGAATTTTGCAAGGTTTACTCCTGAGTAAAAGAAAACAAGGAGGAAGAACTGCATTTCGGCTGCCCCAGAAGGTCTGACTTCAGAAGGGACCAATAATCTTCAATATTATTCATCACGTTCAAACGCCGTTTCAAAATATAGTGCAATATTGTAATGACGTCTCTTATTTAATAAATGAACTATACTGCATTTCAATTACTACATAATATTTTTGTAATAATCTTTTGAATCTCTGTAGCTTTTCATGTTTCTCTTATTTTCATTATTTGTTGGACGCCCAAAGAACCCAACAGATATGTAAACCATAATTAAAAAAGGATCGATTAGAGAACACTAAGAGAACCATCGATCATATTTTTAAAGGAATCCAGTTTATGAGAGAAAGAATTATTTGTTTCATTGTTTTATAACTTGGAAGCTGCCCTAAAGTCACGTTTGTAAGGGGGAGACGGCAGCATAAAAAATGTAGACACAATTGAAATTTAAAACTGATTTTAAAATAGATAAAATGTCAATAAATCAACCCATGTATGCAAACGATGAAATAAAAATAAATAAGAATGGAAGAAGAAATTGAAATGAGAATAAAGATAATTAGAAAATCGGGGCTGCTCAAATACCATTTTAGATTGAACTGAAAAGGGAAACAACAGGAGAGAAGGGAAGGAGTAGAGAGGGAGGAAGGGAGAGGAGGGGAGAGGAGAGGAGAGGAGAGGAGAGGAGAGGAGAGGAGAGGAGAAAGAAGAAAGGGAAAAGGAGAGGAAGAAAAGGGAGGGGAAAGAGGAGCAGAGGAGAAGGTTAGAAGGGGCGAAGAAGAGAGGAGTGGGGGAAGAGAAAGGGAAGTAGGAAAGAGAAGGAGAGGAAGAATGAAGGAAGCAGGAGGAGAAAGAGGAAGGAAGAGAAGGGGAGGAGGAGTAGAAAGGAAAAAGGAGAGGAAGAAAAGGGAGGGGAAAGAGGAGCAGAGAAGAAGGTTAGAAGGGGCGAAGAAGAGAGGAGTGGGGGAAGAGAAAGGGAAGTAGGAAAGAGAAGGAGAGGAAGAATAAAGGAAGTAGGAGGAGAAAGAGGAAGGAAAAGAAGGGGAGGAGAAGAAATAATGTTGGAGTAAAGGTAAAGGGTAAAAGAGCAGCCCCGAAAAAGTAAAAATCAAAAATGAAAGTTAAAAGATAAGATGAATGAAAAATGATGGATAAATGACTGTACATGTAAATGTGTTTATGAGAAATAAAAATAAAAAACTTTTTTTAAAAAAATAAATCAACCCATGGGTGGCACAGACAATCTAGCAAACCTATCAAATCAAATCCAGCTAATCTGAGATACATCATTGCCTATTTGGGCAATGAAGATTTTCGAAGACGCGCCCAGACATCCAGGTGTTGTAATTTAATTGAGATATATTTCACGCTGTCCAAGAAAAAGATTTGCAGGGTTGTGTTGTTGTTTTTTTCACCCGGTGCCAAAGTGAAAATCCAGGTTTGGTTGGCCTGTCCGAAATGCTTCTTGGCAGCTCACTTGACTTAAGGATTAGCTTTGGGGTTTATCTAATAAGCCTGGGCCTTGGCACAGATGTCAAAAGTTTGCAGCGGCTCTCCTAAGTGGGTTACCTGCTTTTCAAAGAAACGGCAGGCTTAAGGGAATTCACCTCACCTCTCTGGATCTCAAAATAAGAGCCCTGCGGAGTATCTATCGGCCAAGGAAAGGCTGCCTCAAATATAGGTATATAGATAGATTAAAATCTAAAAAATTAAGGCCAATGCAACAACAACAACAACAAAATTCTACTCCATGTCTATCAGCTACCTCAAGGAATGAACGTTTCCAAAGAACTGAATTGTCTGGATGCCGGAGGTGCATTTAGAATTTAGGATATAAATTCTGGACATCTCAATTGTTGCATTTAGAGTTGTAAATCAGATAATTGCAGATGCTCTCTCTCTCTCTCTCTCTCTCGATCTATCTATCATCTCTATCTCCCCCCCTCTCTCTCTATTGATCTATCATCTCTATCTATCTATCTATCTAACTCCCTCTCTCTAACTCCCTCTCTCTCTATCAATCTATTTCTCTCTCTCTCTATCTCCCTCCCTTTCTCTCTCTCTCTCTCTCTCTCTCTAACTCCCTCTCTCTCTATTGATCTATCATCTCTCTCTCTCTCTAACTCCCTATCTCCCTCTCTCTATCTCTCTATCGATCTATCAATCTATCATCTATCTCTCTCTATCTCTATCTCTCTCTATCGATCTATCATCTCCCTCTCTCTCTCTCTCTAACTCCTTCTCTCTCTCTCTATCGATCTATCTATCATCTATCTATCTCTATCTTTCTTTATCTAACTCCCTATCTCCCTATCTCTCTCTCCAACTCTCTCTCTCTCTCTCTCTCTCTCTTCCTACCCACCCAACCCTGTCTATCATCTATCTCTCTATCTCTCTATCTCTCTATCTCTCTATCAGTCTATCTACCTCTCTGTCTCTCTCTCTCCCCCCCCATCCACCCCCCCATCCATTCATCCCTGCTAAGTATGCAGATATTCAGCATGGTATCTTCCAGAATTTGAGAGAACTGTGTAGGGAATACCCCAAGTAATTATAATGCAACACCTAAGGATAAATTTAACCTCATTTCCATCAATAGATACATTGGGTTTATCAACACTCGAATTAGTGATAAGTTTATTTTCTTGTAGTGATGGGTTTTTTTAAGTTTACAGAAGGAAAAAGGTGCAAGATTGAAGCAACCTGATCAATCGGCTCAGTTTATTGGCGAGATAAATTCCCACAAATCAATCTATCTTTCTTTTTTTTTCCTTTCTTTTTCTTTCTTTCTTTTTTCTTTCCTTCTTCCCTTTCTTCCTCCATCCCTCCCTCCCTCTCATCCTTCTCTTTCTTTCTTTCTTTCCTTTCTTTCTTTCTCTTCCCTTCTTTATCCTTCTTTCCTTTTCTTTCTTTTTCCTGCTTTCTACTGCTTTCTTTTTCTTTCTTTTTACTGATACTGTATAATAATATATAATTTATAATGACTATAAACGAAATATTTTAAAGTGATGCAAGAAACTGCTGACACATCCCAGATGCTGGTCTAATCAGAAGCAAACAGATGAAGGCCGTAGAAAGCTGGGGGGAGAAAAAACCCTCCATTTTTTCCCCCTTAAAAATAAATCTCTTTTGTAAAATTCTTTTTAATTAAATCCTTTGAATGTTTCCATCCAGAACAGTTAGTCGATGACTATACATTGCATCAGAGCAATTGTTTATGTGAACTGTTTATATGGCCCTGTTTTTAAAACTGCGGATTCTTTGGGGAAAATGGGAGTTTTAAGAAAATATTTTTCCTGAATCACTGCTCCTGCAAATTGTTTTATCTGCCCTTGCAAAATAAAAAATTAAGACAGCACAATTTGATACATGCCTCCTCAGAAGTACATTCCATTGAATTCAGTGGGATTTTTAAATGTAATTTCTTTTTCCTTTTAAGTCAGAATGCAACATAAAGCAAACTGTTTATTCAATTTCCTGGGATTAAACAGCACCGAGAAGACGTGAGACAGTCGGTCTAGAGCCAGACTTTTAAGAAAAAATAAAATTTATATCATTTTCATTACAGGGGGGAAGAAAAACATTTATGGTCTTTCATTCCATGCATCATCCTTTTTTTCCTCTCCTTCTTCTTTTTCTTCTTTTAATCAAATGGTCATTTGCAAGTCTGGGAAAAAGGCTTTCAGGATTAGCTTGACTAGACAATCCCAAGGTTGCCCCACATTATTGTCAATGGGAGAGAAGAAGAAGAAGGAGGAGGAGGAGGAGGAGGAGGAGGAGGAGGAGGAGGAGGAGGAGGAGGAGGAGGAGGAGGAGGAGAAGGAGAAGAAGGAGAAGAAGAAGAAGAAGAAAAAGAAGAAGAAGAAGAAGAAGAAGAAGAAGAAGAAGAAGAAGAAGAAGAAGAAGAAGAAGAAGGAGAAGAAGAAGGAGAAGAAGAAGAAGAAGAAGAAAACAAACTAAAAGGAAAATTATCAATGGAAAAATCAGAAAACCCGGGAGACGTTGGCACTTGGCTTTGGAAAAAAAGAAAGCTAGGATTTCAGAAAGGACTAGCCCTCTTTCTCTCTCTCTCTCTCTCTGGGCTGACACAAAGCCTTCTGAAATGCGATCCCTGCCTCAGGAGGCACAGCAGCTAAAGTCGAAATTACATCATCCTTCCAACCGACTGCATCGCAGGGCTGGTCCTCTCCCTCCGTGGCACCAACAGCCGGCATCTTTGACAGATACCCATCGCCCCTGGCGAGAGGCATACGCAAAGCTCTTTTTTTTTTCCGTTTTAGGAAGGAGAAAATTAAGGCTTGCAAAGCCATGGGGCATTGATGTTTGAAGAAGCAACCAGATCACCTGGAATGGTCTCTTAAAAATAGAGAAAACAAACAAACAACCTGGGCAAGGTTTGGCCTAAGGATGTTGGGAGGGGAGACCACCAGGAGATCTCAGATTGGTCGACTGGCCTGGCCGGTTGAAAAACATTTGCAGAAGAGAAGAAGGGAGGGAGATGGGAGGTTAAGAAATACGATGAATAAAAAGAGATAGATAAATAGATAGATAATACAGCAAGAGAGAGAGAGAGAGAAATGATAGATGATAAAGAGAGAGTGGTATAGAGATAGATAGATGGATGGATGGATAGATGGATAGATGGATAGATAGATAGATAGATAGATAGATAGATAGATAGATAGATGTATATGATAGAATAGATGGATAGAGATATTAGATGATAGACTGATACAGCGATAGATAATTATAGATAATAGATAGATAGATAGATAGATAGATAGATAGATAGATAGATAGATAGATACAATCAGAGAGATAGCGAATAGATGGATAGAGATGATAGAAGATTGATAGAGTGATAGATATAGATAATTAGATATAGATGAGAGAGAAATGAGAAATGATAGATAGATAGATAGATAGATAGATAGATAGATAGATAGAATGATAGAAAGAATAGATGGATAATGATGATAGATATACAGCGATAGAGACAGATAATTAAATAAAATTAGATAGCTAGCTAGCTAGCTAGATAGATATAGATAATTATAGATAGATGATAAATAGATAGATGGATAGATAGATATAGATAATTATAGATAGATGATAAATAGATAGATAGATAGATATAGATAATTATATACATAGATGATAAATAGATAGATAGATAGATAGATAGATAGATAGATAGATAGATAGATAGATAGATATAGATAATTATATACATAGATGATAAATAGATAGATATAGATAGATAGATAATTATATAGAGATAGATGATAGATGAGATAGACAGATAGATAGATAGATTGAGAGACAGAAGGGGGAGGGAGGGAGAGAGGGAGAGGGAGAGGGAGAGGGAGAGGAAATAAATCTTTTGGATGGACCCAACAGATAGATTGAAATGTTAATCTGGAGTCAAGCTTAGTTCCAGGGAATTTTTGCATTTAAACTCCTTGGTTAAAATCAAAGCACTTCTGAATAGATCTACTTAAGGTTTCATCAGGACCAGTTTGCCGTTAAATAAACAAGATCCAACATTAAAGAAACATGTATTGGGGTGAGGCTGGGGGGGGGAAACAGAGGTTCTAAGGAGATCCCTAAGTATCTTCTTTGTGCTTTGAAGAAACGTGGTGGTTCATTACTGGTAAGGATATCAAGGGCAGAAGGTAAGGTGACTGGAATGGAACTGGATTACATTATTACAAAACCATCCTGGACCGTTTTTGGATGTTAATGATCTTAAGAGCCTGAGATGGCTTTGTGATCCTATCCGGAGTTATTCGCAGGAGAGAAAAATAAACCCATTCTCGTTGGGGACTGAAATTGGGACTGGCCGAGTCTTTAAAAACAAATATACAAGGCTAGCGAAGTTCCTTAACAGAAATCTCTTTTTGAAAAAAAGAAGAAGAACCAAACAAAGAAAAAGAAAACAACAATTAAATTCTACAATGGCATTAATTGCAGAGCTCAGGGAGGCCTCCCCAGGGGATTCCTGCTTTGATATGCTGATGCAAGAAGACAAATTGTGTATTTTAAAAAAAAAGAACTCGCAATTCACAACTGGAGAGCAAAAAAAAAAAGAAGAAGAAGAAGAAGAAAGAAGAAAGAAGAAAGAAGAAAGAAGAAAGAAGAAGAAGAAGAAGAAGAAGAAGAAGAAGAAGAAGAAGAAGAAGAAGAAGAAGAAGAAGAAGAAGAAGAAGAAGAAGAAGAAAGTTTTAGGTGGAAAATAAATGCTACCATCAAATCGAAGCTTTTTCAGAGTCAAAGACCAGCAGAGATAAATGGCATTACGTACCCTGAGTCAAGGTCAAAAAACACACACAAAAAAAAACCCCAGCAATAATGAAATTTTGGGCCATGGTGTTTTAATAATCACGGGGCTGATTTTTATCAACTCAGATGCTGGACTCAATTTTAAGACCTTTCTGTTAAAAATAAACAAGAAGATACTATTTTCTTTTTTCCAAGTGGTGCGTTACCGTTTCCTAAAATAAGTTTAGCTAAGGCTGCAAGATATAAAAGGCAATTAATATGTTAATGCACCCATCCCTATCAATTATCTTTTATCATTTATAAAGCAAAAATTAACCCAACCAGCTTGCTATATATATATATATATAAAAAGAAAGATTCAGACATTCAAAAGCAACAAATACCGCCCTGAGATTTAGAGAAGGGCTGCTTTTAACGCAGCATATTTAATTTCTTCTTTTTTTTACAAAATAAAATGAATATTTGTTTTGTCTTTTTTTTTAAAAAAAAAACAATCCTTCAATTGCAATTGCAAGTCTTCCCATTTCTCCTGCTTTCTCCTTTCTCCGTTACATCACATTCCAATTAAGGGCTTTTACAAAAACATCACCACCGTCACAATATATATATATATATATATATAATTTTCAAAATCATATATGTATTCCCCAAACGGAGAAGTGGTAAATAACGGAGAAGGAGAAGGAAGAAATAAACAAAACCCAATTAATTAAATTTATGAATGAATTGGAAAAAGCAGAACGGTTACTCGATGGCCTTTGGAATTTTTATTTTCTGCTATCCTAACTTTCCACCTTTTATGTTTCTCTTTTAAAAGTCCTTTTTTCTCATTTTTTCCCCCTGTAGTGTAGTTTGACTTTTCCTCCAGAAATGCAAACTTTAACCACCTGTTCCCACATTTAATTCTCCCCTTTTTCTCCCCAAAGCGAAGCTCGCCTTCTCCGCTGCCCCATCTTTGAACAGCTGGGATACCCCACTGTATGGGACTGCAAGACCCATAGAGCTGGGCAGCCCCCCCCCTTCCCCAGCAGTCTGGGTTTTTTTTTCCCTGCCTGCCTACCATGGGAGGTGGTCTTCAGGGGGAAAGGAAGAGATGGCGAGTGTCAGGAGGGCGAAGAAGAGGAGAAAAAGAGAGAAAGGAGAAGCTGGAAGTGACCCACTCACCTGGCACACCTCAAGAGTGGCGCGGGGAAGGAGAGATCGGCCAGCCTGGCCAGCTTCTGTGCCTTCAGGCTAATCCAGCAGCCGGGCGCTTTTTCCTTCCCGCGAAGATCCCCACCCAGCTGGGCTCCACCCTCCCTCCCGATCAATCACCCCCAGGAAAAGACGCCACTGCGGTAGAAGCAGCAGGTTCTCTGCAGTCTCTTTGCAAAGCCATCTTCCAAAGCCAGGAAGGGAGGCCCCTCCTTTCTCCTTTCCCCCCCCCACACCCTCTTCGCATTGCCTGCAGGAGGAGGAGGAAGGAGAAAGAGGAGGAGGAGGGGGAAGAGAAGAAGGAGAAAGAGGAGGAGGAGGAGAGAAGAGGAGGAAGAGGGAGAAGAGGAGGAGAAAGAGGAGAAGGAGGAAGAGAGAGAAGAGGAGGAGGAAGAGAGGAGGAGGAGGGGAAAGAGAAAGGAGGAGGAAAAGCAGAAGGAGAAAAAGAAGGAAGAGAGAGAGGAAGAGAAGGAGGAAGAGGGAGAAGAGGAGGAAGGAGGAGAAGGGGAAGAGGAGGAGGAAAAAGAGAAAGAGGAGGAGGAGAGAGGAGGAGGAGGAAGAGAGAGAGGAAGAGGAGAGAGGAGGAGCAAGAAAAGAGAGAAGAAGAGGAGGAGGAGGAGAGGAAGAGGAGGAGGGGGGGGGGAAGGAGAAAGAGGAGGAAAAGAGCAGAGGAGGAAAAGCAGAAGGAGAAAAAGAAGGAAGAGAGAGGAAGAGAGGGAGGAAGAGGGAGAAAAGGAGAAGGGGAAGAGGAGGAGGAAAAAGAGACAGAGGAGGAGGAGACAGGAGGAAGAGGAAGGGAGAGAAGAGGAGGAGGAGGAGAGGAAGAGGAGGAGGAGGAAAAGCAGAAGGAGAAAAAGAAGGAGGAGAGAGGAAGAGAAGGAGGAAGAAGGGGAGGAGGGGGAGGAGGGGGAGGAGGAGAAGAGAGAGCAGAGGAGGAGGAGGAGGGAAAGAGGAGGAGGAGAAAGAGAACGAGGAGGAGGAGGGGGAGAGAAGAAGGAAGAAGATGACACACAACCAGAGTCTCAAGAGTTGGGGGAGGAGGAGAAGGATGGGGAGGAGAGAAGAAGAAGGAAGAACAGGAGGAAGGGTTGAAGGCAGGAAAAATACGGAGGAGGATCCGACAGCAACATCTGCCTAGCTCAGATCCTTGGGAAGGATAAAACTGCCCAGTTGGTCTGAACACCTGGCTGACTCTGAGAGCCACCAGAAGTCAGCAGAGGAGAAGAGAAAGAAGCGGAGGAAAAACACACAATGCAAAGGCCTGCAAAGAGAAGTAGGAAGGCTGTGGGAAAAGAACGCCAAGGTAGCACCCAAAGAGCCTTGGGTGTAATCGCAGAACCACCGCAGAATCGGCATTGACAAAGCCATCAGTCAATTGCAAAAGGCAGCTTGACTTAGAACTGCTTACAACCTGCAATGAGACCTTTAACAACATCAAACATTCCACATCTGCCTATCCCAGGCCCTTGGGAAGGACTTAATAAGTGAATACAAATGCCAATTCCAGTCTGAACATCTGGCTGACATGCGATGTACAATAATTTATTATTTGAATGCCATCGGCATTGGAAAAATCCCCATCGGTCAATTGCAGGAGGCAGCTGGACTTGGAAGAGCTTACATCCTGCGATGAAACATTCGAACATCCACATCTGGCTATCTCAAATCCTTGGGAAGGACTCAGTAGATGGACAAAAATGCCAAATCCAGCTGTCCAACTGTGCGACCAGCCATAACAATATTATCGGCATTGACAAAATCAGTCAATTACAGGAGGTAGCTTGGCTTGGAACAGCTGACATCCTGCAGCAATACCTTTAAACCCCACCAAACAACAACATCTGGCTATCCCAGGTCTTCGGGAAGGACTTGATAGGCGGATAAAAATGCTAAATCCAGTCCAAACATCTGGCTGACTGTGCAACCAGCCATAACAATAATATCGGCATTGACAAAATCCTCATCAGTCAATTGCAGAAGGCAGCTTGACTTAGAAGAGCTGACATCCTACAACAATACCTTTTACCCCAATCAAACAACATCTGGCTAACTCAGGTCCATTGAGAAGGACTCAGTAGATGGGCAAAACTGCCAAATCCAGTTTGAACATCTGGCTGATAGTGTAACACACTCTACTAATAACAACAACATCAGGGACATAAATTTTCTCAGCCTTTCCTCTTTCTGGATTTCTACTACCGGTAATCGCCAGCCCAGGTTAATTTCAATAGCATAGAATTGCTGGTCAATTTCACTATGAGTGGAGAAGATCCTGGTTAGTTTCCATCCTTTAACAAACTGTCCCTAGATCCAATTTCTTGCAGGTTGAAAGCCTGAAACCACTTTGGTTGCAAAAACAGAAAGATTACGGAATGCAGCTATTCACATCCACTTGGAAAATCTTTCTAGAGATGGAACTCCACTTTGCTCATGCTCAGAGACACCCCCATTATTATTCGGGACCTTTATTTTATTTTATTTTATTTTATTTTATTTTATTTTATTTTATTTTATTTTATTTTATTTATTTATTGTTCTTCAGCCTATATGACCTCCAAGGTCCTTTCTAACTCTGTTAATCTGTATCTGAGAATTAACAAAGTTGGAAGAGATCTTGGAGGTCATCTAGTCCAACCCCCCACCCAAGCAGGAGATCCTACACCGTTTCTGACAGAGGGCAGTCCAGTCTCTTCTTGAAAGCTTCCTATGATGAAGCTCCTACAACTTCTGAGGGCAACTTCTGTTCCATGGGTTGATTGTTCTCACTGTCTGAAAATTTCTCCTTATTTCCAGGTTGAATCTCTCCTTGTTCAGTTTCCTTGTCTGGCTTTTGGGGGCCTTGGAAAATAGCTTGACCCCCTTCCTCCTCTCTGTGGCAGCCCCTCAAATATTGGAAGATGCTCTCCTGTCTCCCCTGGTCCTTCTCTTCACTAGACCAGCCATGCCCAGTTCCTGTACGTTTCTCAAAATCTGCTCCCCAGGACTAAAATCCAGATTTCAAGTTTGGGAGGCCTAAGCTCTCAATAATTATGCTAATGATTTAGAACAGGGATATTTGAGGTCACCAATTAACTCTGAGTGCCCCAGAATTTTGCAAGCCTGTTTTGGAAAGCTGCCAAGAGATTTTCTGGGTGGGGGTGGGGGTGGGAGGAAGAGGAGAAGGGGGTGGAGAGAGAAGGCAGAAGGAAAATGTCTGCTTATGAACTAGCAAGTTGGATGTCAGAAGGGAGGGGATTTAAACCCCTCCCCACTGAATGAGGAAGGAAGGAAGGAAGGAAGGAAGGAAGGAAGGAAGGAAGGAAGG